TCTTGAAAACCTCTAGTGCTGGGAGTGCTCACCACTTCCTGAGATAACAAGTTTCACTGCTCTACTGTTATAACACTTAGAAAGTTTCCTGATATACAGTGGTGCCCCACTTGACGATCACCCTGGTAGACGATGAAATTGCTTCACGATGAGGTTTTTGTGATCGCTACTGCTGCCTCTTTATACTCATTGTTTTTAGCTTTAAATATTGTCTTTTAATTCTATAAGCCACTGCTGTACAGTATACTCATTGTCTTTAGCTTTGAATATTATCTTTCAATTATGTGAGCCGCCCTGGGTCCCTTTCAAAGAGAAAGGTAGGGTAAAATATTTTAAATAAATAAATAATAATATTCAGGAGCACCCCCAAACTGAGCACCTATATTTTCAGAGGGAGTATAACCCTGTCCAGCACAGGCTTCATCCCTATTTCTTGATCTGCCTTTCGATTAACCAGGAGCATCTCTCTCATCTGGATTTCAGTTTATTCACCCTCATCCAATCTGTTTGGTTGTTTGGTTGGCTTCTGTTTTTTGTTTGTTTGTTTGTTTGTTTGTTTGTTTTTTAAACTTCTATACCCTCCATCTGGCTACAAGGCCACTCTGGGCAGATTACAATTTAAAAAAAAATAAGACACAAAATAAAGACATACATCAAATTACAACTATCAATAGTGGGTATAAACTCAAAATTAAGCAAACCCAAACACAAATCTAAAATCAAAAACAAAAATAGAACATACACAGTAAAATAAAATCAACAGAGACATAAATGATTAAGAGGCAAGGTGGTGGAACAAAAAAAAAATAAAATAAAGTTTTTCAGACGTTATTCAGACGTAAATTCTGGGAAAGCGTGCCTAAAAAGCCATGTTGTCAAAGATAATTTAAAAACTCCCAGTGAAGGGGCCAGAGGAACATCAGGTGGGAGATCCTTCCAGAGGTGAGAAGTGATCGCCAAGAAGGACATTTTGCCCTGGTCAGTCTCCCTCAAGAGGTCATCTTGCAGGGTGACCAAAGCCGTTTCCATGTCATGACGCAGCATGGACCCAGACTGGAATGGGTCGAGGGCATCAGCCTCCTCCAGGAGTGCCTGTAACTGATCGGCTACTGTCCTCTCCACCAGCTTGCTTAAGAATGGAACGTTAGCAATGGGTCTGTACTTGCTAATGTCAGCCGCAGCAAGATTTGGCTTTTTGTGGATGGGCCTAATGAGTGTCTCCTGGAGGGCACGGGGAACCTTGCCCTCCCGGAGAGACCCATTAACGATGGTCACAACCCACTCCGTCATTACAGGCCTAACTGTATTTAAGCTCCAGGCTTGGCAGGATCTAGGGAGGTTGCACTAGCCCTACAGCGATCATGCAGCTTGTCAACCTCATCTGATGTCACAGGCTAAAACTGTGTTAATATCACCATATGAGGCGGCGCAGTAAATGTCTTTGGCTTGACCTACTGATGAAAAGTGGTAGTTGAGGTCTCAACGGATGGTCTCCACTTTGAGTATTTTAAATGCTACCAAACTGGTCACAGGAGATATTACTGGGAGGCCTTGTGCACTATCCAGAATAATTTGGCCTGATGGTTTTAAACTCCACTTATCTGGGCAGCAAAGTAAGATCTCCTTGTGGCCTTCACCTTGACTAAGTAAGTAAGTAAGTATGTGATGCAATTTCTGCAGCCTTTAAATTAGATTTTCTGGGTCCCACCTCCAAATGTTCTCCAGCCTCCTCCTATTTTGATTCATTGCCTGAGGTTCTTGATTATACCATGCGGCTGGACAGGCTCAGCACTGGAGGGTGCGTTTAGGTGCAACCATGTCTATGGCCCTGGTTGCAGCAGCATACCGTTCTTTAACCAGAATTTCAGCAGGAGCGCCAACCAGATCAGCGGGTACCCCACACACTGCATCTTGGAAACCAATAGGATCCAATAGCCTGAGGGTGCAAGCCATCTTAATGGGTCCCCTCTCCTTGCAGGGAGGGAGCACCACTGATGGGCTGCATTTTATCAGGTGGTGATCCAACCATGACGCAGGAACTGGCACAAGATCGGTCACTTTGGGTCACTCTCTCCCTCCCCTGTTGAAAACACCAGGTCCAGCACATGGGTAAGACTGCTGACATATTGGGGCATGTCTAAGGAAGCCATGGTTTCAAAAAATCCAACCTGCCTAAGCATGGATGTTGAAGTCCCCCAGCACAAGCAGTCTGAGGGACCTCAACAGTGTCACTGAGAAGTAGTCTCAGGAAAGTGCTGGATCACAGGGTTTCAGCAACAGAATAGGTCTTCCGAGGGGCCCTAGCTAGTGCATAGTCAGATTCACTCCAGGTCTTCCACCATCATCCCTCCATCTTCATTCCTCTCGGTTCATCACCACCACCAGCTGCCCAGCAAACCAGGTGGCCATTTTGACTGGGAGGAGATTTTAGGAGCAATCCTGTCAATGGCTTTTGCCATTTCCCCATTCCAGAGATCAATGCGGGCTTCAACAGAATAGCCTCCCATGATGACTACTCTTGTCTTATTTTTGTACGTTGGGAGTTCAGTGACTCTGCTGCTGAGTTTCAGCCTCTCTCGTGTCCTTCTGTGGGGTTTCCTGTAAGTGTTCATTTGCGCTCTTGTCTCTCAGACTCCCCTTCAAAAATCTGAAAGCGGTTTTGCCACTGGTTCTACTGCCGAATAATGTCTTTTTTCCACTTCCTAACTGCGACTCTTTTCCACGACGCTTCGTCCATTGTGTTTATTCTCTTCTCAGCCTCCTCCTCCTCCGCTTGTCTTGCTGTTCTTCCACCTCCAGCACCTCCACTTGGCAGCAGCGGCTGCTTGAGAGCGCTGCCTGTACACTCTCTTATCTTCTCTTAAAAGCCTTAAAGTAGCCACTTGCTGCTCCTTTTCTCTAACTTTTTCTTCCAACAGCACAAGCTTTCTGCACTGGCTGCATGTGTGTGCTGCATTGTTCTTAGGCACAAAAATAGATACTGCACACACCATGCAGGTGTTTATTTATTTATTTTTATTTATTTTATTTTATTTATATCCTGCCTATCTGGTCGGGTCAGGACCACTCTAGGCGGTTTCTTCCCCCCATAATCCTGGTTACCTTTCTAATTTCTTCTGCTTGTCTCCAAGTGTCCTTTCCTTTGCCCTGTCTGCCTTGAAGGATGCTGGAGAAGCCCACTAATCTATAACTATCTCCAGCTCTCATAAATTTTGGTGGTGCGTCTTTTGCTGAAAGAAAACCAGTGAAAATGTTCTTTGCTCTCTATGGTTGCTTGCTCTGGTTGCTCACTCCCTGGGGTCTTGTCCTCTACCGTGCTCTGTTAGGGGTCAGCAAACAGAAAGGCCCTCCCAGTTGCTATTTATTACTCTCAACAGTAATCAGCCCCCCCACTTCCTCTTAAACTGAGCACATAGTCCTTCCGAATGGGGGATTTCCAAAGGTTACTCCAAGTCACTTTCTGATGTTAATCTAAATCACTCACCTCTCTGCTTCCCCCAACCCCTCTTTGCATTAATGAACAACATTTATAGGAAACGGAAAGCTGTGGCTTTTCTCATGAAACAGAATCAACCTCCAACCTCCATCTTCAGCTTGTGCCTCTCACGTGCGCGACTCTGCCCCCCCCTCCATGTGTACGGAGGGTTCCATCATGACTGGATCCAAAGGGGCTGCGTGGAGGAGGAGGAGAAGCGAAGTTGTGTGGAGGGAGGTGCAGCCACGTGCCCCGGAGGGGTCTTTGAACCAGACCAAACATCCCTGACTTTTAGACCTTCATGCCTGCAACAACCTGAATACCTGTGAAGAAGTGCAGAACTTAATTATCTCCATTTGAAGATTGAGTCCTAGTTGTTGGAGAAATACCACTTCCATCAGAAAGGTACCTGCATGATCTACTGGTGCCAAGGTCATTCTGATTGTGATCCTAATTGCCGAGCAGCTCCAGCTACCTTCCCTGAGAAATGTGCAATTTTACCAGTAGAAATTTCAATTTGAACTGGTTTCAAATTTGCTGTTGGGCATCATCACTGTTACTAATGGTTAAACTATAAGTATTCATTAGGACAGAATCTAAAGAGGTCTCGTGTTTTTGAACATCACCCTCCCTTAAACTAGAAAGCTTAGAGGTCTGGCTTGTTGCTGTGAGATCCTTATATTGTCGGTATAAGCTTAAGCTAAGTAATCTTTCTTATTTTTTAAGTTCTGCTCTCAGTTTATTTCTGTAATATGCCAGAACATCTACTCAAAAACTATTTTTTTTCCCTGCGTAACCTGGCTCTTTCCCATTCTTTCGACCCATATAACATCGTTTCTGCAACTTTCGTCCTTTTTGAGAACATAGGTGCCTGAGTTGTTACTAGACCCTGTCTTTGCTCATTGGTCAGTCGGGGGTTTGGGGGTTCTACCCTGCAGAGCTCGCTGGCGTTCTGGGTGACTAGGTTCCTTGGCGGCTGCTATTTCTTGGGGCACTCTAGGGTTAATCCAGGAGTCAGGCACAGCTGGAGGGCAACAATAAGGGGATCTCAAAAGAAGTTTCGTGGTGTTTTGGCTTTGCACAAGCTTATGTGCCTTGGGGTCTATGGTTACGGCACCCCCCTGGGTCTAGACCTCATGTTGGGACAGGTCACCTTATCCAGGAGTTTCACAATCTTGGGCTGCTTTATGCCAATGGCGGCGGTATGCCCAACAGGAGCTCCTGGAGGGGCAACCATATGCTTAGCTTCATACAAGGCAATTATTGCTGTAATACTTTGGATGAAGGGACAAATCTCAGCGGGAGTAATCCAGCATGGACTGAGTCCTCGATCCAGCACCACCCATTAGAACAAGATACTCACTGGTTACTATCCTTTGCCCTGCACCTTCCAGCTGACCTTCTGCCCAACTGCCTTGCAGTCTCTCATAGCCAGGGTGAACATGGCACCCATTCTCCATGCACTCCATTTATTGACACCGACACTCATCCAATGCCTTTGACTACATTCTCGAGAACTACTCACCATCCTGGGAGAAAGAGCCTATAGCACTGACAGGGAACAACTCATCAGAATCGTCATTCAGGACTTGAAGAGGAGGCCAAGCACAAACCAGCGAATTGCTCATCATACCCTGCAGTGGTCTAAATAAGGGTTTTAAAAATACATGGAAATAAAGTCAAATATTAATTGTTGTGCAACCTTTTCACAAATGGAAAAAAGCATATAAAATCACCATGGGATTTAAAAAAAACCCTCAAAAGCAATAAATAAACCAATAAGCAGCAGTGTACATCAGCAATGGGCAATTTCAGGAGGGCCAGGGACCAATTTTCCATACACATCCGGAACCGCAGCAGGTCATACTAATCTCTCTCATGAATTTTGAGATCAACTTATTTTGAAACATTTAAAACCCAAAAAGACATGTGGAAGACATGCCTTTTTCTCCAGATCCTAGTCAAGGAAAATAGACTGGGGGAAGGGATTTTAAGCTGCAAAACCAGTCTGAAGCCACACATGAACTGGGTATCAGCTATCCCAATGTTGGAACTTTCCACTGAACTATTTCCAAACAATTAGC